GCGCGTGTGCCGGGGGGAGGGGAGGCAGGACCCCTCCCCCACCAATCAATCAATCAATCAATTAATCAATCAATCAATCAATCAGTCAATCAGTCAATCAATCAATCAACCAATCAATCAATCAATCAATCAATCAATCAATCAATCTTTTTTTTTTCCTATTTTTTTCTAATTTGTTTTTCACACACAAAAAAACAGCTCCCCGAAAATATTTTTTTTTAACTTTTTTCTGTTTAAGGGGTGGGGTCGGGGTTCCGGAACCCCAATCCGCAACCCTCTTCCCCACACCCCTCCCCCCTCGACCGCGGTGGCCCGTTTTTGCCTGCGGTCGCCGCGGTCATGACCACGGCCCCGTGGCCCCGGCCGCGGCCTGCGGTCGTACCCGGGACGACCGCAGCCGTGGGGGATTCATAGCAGACAAGGCCTCCATGATGACGAAAAGAGAAAGGGGGATGGGGTCGCCTTGAGGTACCGACCTCTCCAGTCGAATTGGATTGGAGGGACCAAGGTCTCACTAATCTGTACTCTTGTGGTCGCGTTGTGGTGAAGGATAAGTACCCACTTGTGGAAGTCCGACCGAAAATTCATCTTCTCCAGGCTTTTGTCAAAAAAAAACAATCGACGTGGTCATAAGCTTTTTCGAAATCTATGAAAATGAGGGCCGCGTTTTGCATGGATTGTCGAGTCAATTGAATTATCTCATGTACTAATAGAATGTTCTCTTGGATCTGCCTATTTTGCATAAACCCTGTCTGCAAAGGGTGTATCAGATCCTCCAAAACCGGGATCATCTTGTTTGCAAGAGCTTTAAACAACATCTTGTAGACAACTGTGAGTGGTGTAATCGGCGGATAGTTCCTTATCTTAAACTTATCCCTTTTTTTTATACAGGATGGATAGGACGCCTCGGCCTACTAGCTCCCCCATCTCTCCCGTAAGCCAGACGTCTTTGTAGTAGTCCATGAGGTCCATGTGCATGCAACCCCACATTGTCACCTAAAACTCCTTTGGGAGCCCATCCAGTCCAAAAGTCTTCTCCTCCATTTGCAAGAGAGCCATCCATATTTCGTCCTTAGTTAAGGGGGCCTCCAACTTCCCCCTTTGCTCAGAGGAGAGTGCTCTGTTAACAGGCTGGAGGAACTTGTCTATTTGTCCGGTTCGTTCTTCTTCGTCGCACGGGGGGATGTGGGTGGCGAAAAAATCCTTAAAAAAATCCCGGGCTATTTTAACACATCATGCTGTAGTAAGGACTGGGTGGGTATCTACCCCCCCTGGCCCATATAGTGCCTCCACAACTGTGCGTTTAGCCCTTACTTGGGCAAGGCCAAAAAACTTTGTGTCCATTGTGCCTTCGGTGACGTACTTGGATAGTTTTCCTCGGATTCTTGCTCCTTGTCAACGGTACTGAGCTTGTTGTGGTAGCTGGGCTTTTACTGTTTGAATCGATTGTGTGAGTTGCTCTGCGCTTCGCCGATGTGTCTGCTGTTCTAGTTCTTGAAGTTGGTTCATAAGGTCGATTTCCTGTTGATTACGTTGTCTGACCAATTGTTTGGAAAATTCATTACACTTTTTGGCGAGAAAATATAGTCCATTATTAAACCATGTTAGGTAAGAATCCAACTCAGGCTGACGTTCTCTCCAGTTTGCCCACACTTGGGTCAGGTATTGTTGAAATGTGTTTAAGTGAAGCAACCGGCTGTTCATCTTGTAGAAACCCGGTCCTTGATCCGATCTTTTCCTGAAGGTAAATGCCTTCATACACATCTTATGATCCAGACCTGGGTAGGGGCTGGACGGAAGGATCGCTGCTAATGAGAGGCTGCTCGCAAGAGCCTCAGAGATTAGAATCAGATCGATTATGGATTTAGAAAGTCGGAGCGGGTTATTGCTTCAGAGGCATATAAAGGTGCGTTCCGTGGGGAAAGTGCGCCGGAGGGTGTCGAAGAGGGAAAAGGAACCACATAGCCGGTTAATCATTTCTTCATCAACAACCATTTCGTCAAAACGGACATGTTATATTTTTTGAACGAAATTAAAATTGAGTTTTTGGGCTGAAATCCGGTCCAAAAATTTGGCTCATGGGGGTCCGACGTTCCTAGAACGCCGGACCCCCTAAATGTATCTAGTCTCAAGCTGCGACGAGATACATCTAGGGGGTCCGGCGTTCTCAGAACACCGGACCCCCAGGAGCCAAAATTTTGGACCGGATTTCGACCCAAAAACTCGATTTTAATTTCTTTCAAAAAATATAATACGTCCATTTTGACGAAATGGTTGCTCACCCTCTTCTGCCTGTCGCAGGGTAGAAAGGGGGATTTGTCAGCAGTCCAACCATCCATCGGGAGTTGCATTGAAGTCCCCTGCCAAGATGACTGGGATGCCTTGCGGTATTTCTCTTTGAATTGTTTTAAAGAGCTCGTCCCTTTCTCGTGCGGTATTGGGTGCATAGATGCAAAATATACATATCACTTCCAACTCCAATGCCCCCAATATTGAAACCCAACGGTCCTCCTCTCAATCTCTCTCCCAGTGCAATACCTCTAGGCGAGAGTTCGGGGGCACCCAAATGGCTGTTCCGGCCCTTGCCAGACTCGGCGCATGCTCTCGGTATGCCTGAAAAGGTCAGGTTGCCTTATGCGCTCTATTGTGTTCCGATGTGTCCAACAAATGCGTTTCCTGAACACAAACCATATCTGGTCATCTCTCCGGCCTCGCACCCCCTAGATCCCATATTGCATGTGTTCTGTCTGGATTGTGCGTGGCTAGGCCATTGACGTTAATAGACCGGAGGTCCACGTCTGCGCTCCGAAGGGTGCACTCCGGAAGTGGTTGTCGTTGCGGCTGGACAGGCATTGAAGACGCCCGTCCCGATGACTGCACATCAGGTGACGGGCGTCACAGTTAGACGTGTCCTTGCTGCGCTTCCACCTCCGTGTGGCGGTTGCGGAGCGACCTTAGCTTGCACCTCCCTCGGTGCAGCGGCGGCATCCACATCGATGACTCAGTCAGCCCTGCCAATGACATTCCCACCGTGCGGTTGATGAGGATTTTGTGGTCACGGCTCGTTGATTCGAGCACCCCCTTGTGATCTCACCGACGCCTGTCTCACATCCTGCACCGATTCCTCGTCCATGAACTTCATGAAGTCATCGTCTCCGCCGACCTTGTTACAATCCCTTACCATGTCTTCTTCCCTCGCACTGGCTCCTGACAAAAGGCCCCTGAAAACCACCTCGTTCTTTTTGGCAGTATGTCGTCCTTTCTTCTCGATGACCGCCACAGCTCCTGAGTAACTGTCCCTCTTCTTGCCACGACCACCGCCGCGGGACGACATGCTGAAGCTGACGACAACCCAAGAGTTGGCTGTGATGGCGATTTACTGCGGCGTCCACTCTGCAATGGCCACTCTTGCGTTGCTGACGTGTCCACGACAGCACGACAACACGAAGACGTGTTCAATCTGTTGATCATGCAGGCGATCCCGCCGCGATCGCTGATTTGTGTCTGCGTCGACCACCCCCATGCTGACGAGGAGATCTGCGTGGAGCAGTCCAAACTGGCGACGGAGAAGACGATGAAGAACGTAAAGAGCGACGGCTGCCAGAGGTCCACGAAGAAGACGATCACTGCTGGTCGTGCGTAGCACGGTTGGCAGTAACCCACAAAATACGTCAGTACGGAAGGCTATCCACGCGGTAGGAACCTCTCAGACGGAAGGCTAGCCACGTGGCAGCGACCTTGCGGACGGGAGGCGAGTGCACGTAGTGGAGCTTAGTGTGTACATATGGCGATGTGGAGGCGAGGCGAGACGGTGGGGACCTGTGCAGGGCAGTACGAAGGAGGTGTCAAGTCTGTGGCTGCTCCTGCGAAAGATCTTGGCAAGGCGCTCTATATATTCGCAAGCAGGGGCGGTGGGGGAGACAGACACGGCAGGGCCGCATACTGTAGATTTTCTTCAGCCGACAACGACAGGTGACGGCAACACGTCTACCGCGAAAGTTGTCCACAACGCCCTCGTCATCCACCCCCACGTGTGCACCGATCTGCGGACCCTTCTTCTCGCCTGATCTGACGTCCTCGACCTTCGAAGTCCTTCCTCATTGTCGAAGGCCAATGGACAGCTGGCACCCACCCCATTATGCACAACCCCCGGCCCCTCCTCCCCCCCCTCAGCCAATGTGCCACAAATTTCCGCCCACCCCTCCCCCCCTCCCCCACAACAGGGCACATACCCCCACCCCTGCTGACCGACATTCAGTCTTGCACATGCTTCTTGACGCTGGCTGGACGCTAGCTTGACGCTGGCTGGACGCTAGCTTGACGCTGGCTTGACACTGGCAGTACGCTGATGCGACGACGCCAGACTGCTTCTGCTTGGTGTTGGCACCTTCTCTGTCTACGACGCCAGCTGGACACTTGACTATGCTGACGTGGCTCTTGCCACACTGTCTACGGCATTGATGGGATGCAGGCGAGGAGGAGGAGGATCAGGGCTGTGAGATTGGTTGATCGTAGGAAAGGTTACCTGTCTGCGTTCGTGTCTACATTACTACGCATTGTTGTTCGTCTTCAGAGGAGTCTGTGCCGTGTGCGCCATGATGAGATCTGTTCATTGTCAGAGCTTGTCAGAGGAGACTGTCTGCTGATGTGGCTAGTAGGGGATGCCCGAAGGAGGAGTGGGCTAGTGAGAGAGATCTATCTGCTGAGCTGATGGGTACTTTCTCTTCCACCCTCCAAGTCTCTTCTCCCTCCCATCTGCCTCTTCTCTGGTCACAAGACATTTGGCTACTTGATTACATGTATGATTTCAGAGACATTGAAACTGCGCTAAGACATTCTCTGTTCTGACATTGACCAGCTTTCCATCTGACTGGGTTCATTGCAAGGCTGTTGCCCTCAGGAAAAAAAAAACAACAAACTGGATGGATGTCCCGACTCCCCAGGCACCGTCCGTTTTTTTTTTTTTTAATTAATGATTACAACAAAATGAAATCCGTCTTTTTCACAAAAATTCCCTAATCACGGACATGCCCATTCTTTTCATTTTGCAACTGAGAAATCCACACAAAATTCCAAAACAAAACCACAAATTCTGCGATAGCAACAGAATTTGTGACTACACTGGTGACATGACTTTTTGTCCTTTTTTGCAAGACGTTGCCTCAGTGTATTGAGGTCATTTGGGCATCAATGGTTTTAACTTTTAAACCACCAGTACTTGGCCCAGCTATCGGCCGCAGGCGATTCCCGTTAACGTGCCGGTAGTTGCGGGCCTCGGGGGACCGAACCACAATGGATGGAAGCGCCAGCCAAAATCAAAACGAAACGGTGCCCCGGCAGCTCGGCAAAACTTGGCGCGCAGGGGGTATTGGTCTGCACTTGGAACGGCAGCAACACAGGAGGCCCTGTGAACAACTCGCCCGTCGCCGCACGCGACCAAAGACTGGACAAATGGATGACCCTGACGTCGTGGCAGCTCCCCGGATAACTCACGAACACATCGAGGACGCGCAAGTCCAAGTCCACCACAACTTGAGCGACGACAGAGAATCGTCTCTTGCGGTCGTAGTAGTCTTCTGGAGCCACGTTCGCCGGCTTGTCGATGTAGATATGGGTGCAATCGATGCACCCATGACAGTTCGGGAAACCCTTGTCCGCAAAAGCACGCAGAACAACCGCCTTCCACACGCCAGTCGGCCACGCCACCTTCTCCCTGTACACTGAAAGCAGCGCAGCTGTGACGTCTCGGACGGCCACCAAACCCGAAGCCCTGCCAATTCCAAAGCCGCAGCTGCTGCTCTCGTATGTCTCGCCGGACGCCCATCTGTAAAGCGCGTAGGCGACGATGTGGTCTGGCTGCAAAGGCTTTCTGTAGAATGTCACACGTCGCTCGAGAATCGGCGACAAGTTCTCAACGGTCTCACGGAAGACACGTGGAGACATCCGTAATTTGTCACGAAAGTAGTCTTCAGTGGCATCGTCTGCAGGCCGAAGATCCTCCCAAGTTCCCTCCGTCCTTCATTTCACCCACCACCTCGGGGTCGCCCTCGGCAGTCCCCCACACCCCAGGGCGCAGCATACCTCAAACACGGCGTCAGAGATGGCGATGCTATCCAACCCTTCACACGTTGGCGACTGCATCACCTTCCTTCTTCGAGCGCGTAGCCGTGCCCACCGTCGTTCCTCTTCGACCTCCGTCTCGCAATGCATGATGACGGCGGCGGCGGCGGACGTCACTGCAGCCCACTGCAGCCCTCTCCAAATCGGACAACCTAGGCCCGCCCTCATCCCCGTCACCGACCGACAGCATATCGACTACCGAAGACATCGCACTCATCCACGCCAGCAGAAGTCGCCCAAACGACGACACAAGGCCGCCACCAATGGACAATGGCAACGAAGAAGTTCGCAGAGATGGCGTTCGGGGCAGAATGCGCAAACGCGAACACCCAAGACGGCGGCGGCGCTCACTGCTGCTGTCCTAGCCAGGGTGCGTCACGTCTTGTAATACGTGTGGACGTTTGTGCTGACACCCAAACGGCCATGAGCTCATCCACATGACGCCCACTGCAACACCCCTGCGCTTCCCCAATGGGGTCGTCCCACGCACGCATCTCCCCGCCCCACCGCAGCAGACGCCATGCTTGGCCGATTCAAATTTCGAATTTTGAAATCACACGCGCGCGCGCGCAATTTTCTTTTTCCCGCGGCGGCGGCAGTCCCTTTTCAAATTTGCCGCCCATACGCGGTGGAACAAGTCCAGCCAGACGGACACCAGACGATGGACCACCGCCCAAACAGTCGTCCCGCGGGCGCGTATAACATTATACGACTCCCCGCGGCCAGTCCTCGGAGCATCCTCGGGGATCGTCCCCAGGGACGAGTGGAACGAAAGTGGGCGGGAAAATCCTCGGGCTGCCCCGAGGATTTCCCCTCGGAGCCCGAGGACGGCCCGAGGAGTGTCTAACGAGCCCCTATCACAGGCCGTTGGCAGTAAGTGCGCCGCAGGCGGCCATGGGGCTTGAACCCACAACCTCCTGAATGCCACTTGCATGCCTAACCAACTGAGCTAGACCGCTGGAGTTCTTTAACTAAAAGCTAGTTGAAGGACAAGACAGAACCTCCGGGATGCTTCCCACCAGGAACCGATTGATCGCAAAAGAATCAACCTCCGTGCTCCTCCCCTCGGATAGATTGGAGCCTTGTTCCTATCGGGAAAAAAACAAATAAAATAAAATAAAATTTCCACAAGCATAGCGGCCATACCTCTACAATGTCTACATGTTTCGGCTACTCGGCCCGATGCACATACCCTCTTCAGGAGGATCATTCCAAACAGAGCGCATATTAAACCACCAGTGCTTGGCCCTGCTATTGAGCAAACGAAATCAAATTAGCATCAATGATGCGCATAGACATGATGGACGTTAATGACACTGGACAGTCGTCGTTGGGATGAGGGTTCACGGGCACAGTGCACGTGGCAGAAGATGGGCTCCCGCTCTGCAGGCCAAATGTGAGATCCACAGGGGGGAGGCATTCCTCGTCCTGGCCACCTTCGTGGAGGAGGGAAGTGAACAACTACCTGTACTTCGCTCCGCCCCGATCATACAACTGGCTACCCGTCCATTCCTGGGTTGACCCAGCGGAACTTTGTTGGACACGGACACGTCCGCCTCCCCCTCGTCCGAATCGGGCAGAGGCTGCATGTGAGGCGGGAGTCCTTCGTACGGCGACGGCCGCCCTTCTGTCTACACCGGTGCAGATCGCAGGCCGGTGGCTGGGATAAGTGTCCGACAACGTGGCAAGATTCGGCCGCCGCCCGTCCATGGCCACGCTCTTCCTCACCCCTCGTTTCCTGCGAGTACGTGAAGGCAACCTCCCCAATATGCACACCTGAACAAAGACAGCAGAATCACGACGAGGAGGACCAGCGGCAGCTTGCGGAGCACGTCGGCCATGTAACACAACAGTTCTCGCAAGGGCAACTAACGACGACAACGCACGACAGCGTAACGTCTTCCCAGATGGCGGCAAACAGCAGGCGTGCGTGGGACGACTGGTGACGCCCTCTGCCGCTTTACATTGTGGAGCACTGCGCGCAGTGACGGACATACGCCGCTGTCATTTTCGAAACGGCTGGCCGTTGGAGGCCTTCCCGTTTCCCGCCGGCGCTGGTGAGGTGCTGGGATAAACCGGAAACGGCCAGGGACCCCGTCCACCACCCAACCTTACCGTTGCGGTCGTTCCCACTGGAGTCGAACGTTGCCGGCCGCTAATGTCCGCCCGCACCTCGGCTGGACCAGCAATGTACCAGACTACAAAATTCTGACGTCGTCGAAGAGCGCCGCCGGCGTCCCGATTTTCGCGGAAACTCCAACTCCGAGGGACCTCGCGAGGTACCTTGGGGAACGCAGCCAAATGCCTGTAGCCCGAGGACGCCCCGAGGACACCCCGAGGAATTGTTTTCACATCGATTTCGAGGGAGCACTCTCCGAGGACAGATGGAACGATCAATTCCTCGGGATTTTTGAGCGCCCGAGGAGTGTCTAACGAGCCCCATAGTCCTCTGGATACCCCTGATCGGTATTAGCGGGGTCTATGACCAACACGGGTGTGAGTGTGAGCGCGAGTGGGTTGTGTGTGGTGTGTGGGAGAGTGTTGACCATAGCCTCTGCTGCTACTCGATGAAGGGTGGGGGACGATGAGAAAGG